TCAAGTAGACACCCACCCTGGAGAGAACAATCATGGGAGAAGGAAGGGCTGCTTATGCACAGGGAGACAGCTCAGGGGGCAGGAGAGTATGGAGGGATGAACACTGGGAAGAGGTAACTATGGGAAGGAAGTGGGAGGGGAGCTGTTGCATTGTGGTAAACTGTGGTCAATGACATGTGACAATGTAAATGTGAACTGCTGTATGGAAAGTGAATTTGCTCTGTAAATCTTCACCCAAATCAAAATAAAAACATTAAAAAAAAATTATTAAAATTGGAGGAGATTTTTGAGATTGCTGTGTGTAGTAGGAAAAAAAGTGGGGGTGCTCTGGTGGCGTAGTGCCTAAGGCATTTCACCACTAACCAGAAGGCTGGCTGTTCAAACCCACCAGCCACTCCTCAGAAGGAAAATTGGGCAATCTACTTCCATAGTGATACTGTCTTGTAAATCCAAGGAAGGGTCACTGTGAATTTCAATCAACTCAACCTCATTGAGCTTGGTTTTGGTTTTTTTTTTTTAAGTGGAAAAAAGCTATGACTTAGGTTCAAGAAACCAAATCATTCTCCCTGACACCCATTTTTTAAAAATTTAGAAAATGGAAGTAATCACTGGTTTGTTTTAATAATTAAATGAAATGATTTGGAAGCAGTCCAGGACCTGGTGATTATAACATTGAATCTAAATCTGAAAAACATTACAATAATAATTTTTAAAATTGAACTCGGTAAAGCTTAAGAAGATTAAAATAACAATACCTTATATGCTGTTTTGACTTTATCTGTATAAACGCTTTATTTTTGAGCTTGTTTCTGGAGAGAGAGATAACTCATAATGCAGTTTTAATGTAAGTGTAATTAAAATGTCTTTTCAGGAAAAGTGTATGGATATCTTACTTTTTTTTCCCCTCCTATTTCCAGCTTCATTTACCTCTCAATTCTCCTTTGCCTGGAAGTGAATTGACCAAGGAACCTTTTCGTTGGGATCAGAGACTCTTTGCATTAGTGTTGCGATTACCTGGCACCATGTCGGTAGAATCAGAGCAGTTAACAGGTGTTCCTTTAGATGACTCTGCAATCACACCAATGTGTGAAGTAACAGGAGGTAAGTTTTTTAAACACTTGCTGGCAGAATTTCTGTGACTTTCAAGTCTATCTGTTTTTAAACGTACATGTCAAAAGTTCCTTGGATGTTTTTGTTTAGTAAGTAGATACTAGGAATTAGTATATAGTAGAGAGAGTTTTAAAGTTTCATTTATTGATGAACATTTGTGATCTTGATTTGAATAGAATGGTCATTATTAGATCTGATAAGGAATGGTAATTTTTTCCTACTTAAAAACAAAGTGCTGGCATTGAATTTGTTAAACTGCTTTGTTCACTACAAAGATTGCTAATGGTTTAGAAATGCTGTACAGTTCTTTTCTATAAGAAATGTTTGAAATGAAATGTGTATGAACTGCTGTGTGGAAGATGAATTTGCTCTGTAAACTTTCACCCAAATCAATAAAAATTAAAGAAAATAAAAAAAGAAATGTTTGAAAATCATCTCATTATCTATTTGATGGTTTTTATCTGGATTTAAGTGCAGTGTTTTCCAGAGGCAAATAGGTTTGAGGAAGCAGGTGATGAGGTCTTATCCAGTTTATGTTTCCATATAAATCAAATCAAGTAGCTGCTATGCTATGTTAAGTGAACATTAGTGAGAATCTTGAAATATAATATGAAATAGATTCAGAACTTCTATACTGTAAAAATTGAGTGCCTACAACAACATCAACAACTGTGTATCAAGCAGTGTTCCATGCCTTTGTACTTTAGTAAGACAGACATAGCATTCTTGCTGTCATAGAACATTTTATTTCTCAGTTAAGGAATTTGATGGTAAAACGTCCAAGTCTGGTATATCACTGTTTTTACCTGTTGTAATGTATGGCCCTGTGGTATAGTCTCTAGGTGCAGTTAGTGCTCTATTGAGATTCCATCATAGCCATCTGTATCATTTAAGGGAAAATGGATGGTACAAACCAATAATGTGCTCGGCTGCTGGCTGAAAGATTCCCCGTTCTAGTTCACCCAGAGGTGCCTCAGAAGAAAGGCCTGGTGATCTACTTCCAAAAAAAATCAGCTATTGAAAACCCTATGGAGCATATTAGTCAGTTTGGATTTAGAATTAAGATAAAGTTATGGGACTATATGTACTATAACATTTGTCTTCTAGGATCAGGTGTATTCAGAAAGTGGAATGAAAAATATTCACAGAGGGTCTGAAAAGAACCTTGCTTGAGAGAGATATCATGTAATAGTTAATATCCTTGCCTTTGGGCAGTAAATGTGCTAAAGTTATTTTGTTTATTCTTTAAAAGGAACATCTCCAGAGGACAAGATTCTGAAGTCACCCTTGGTAATATCTTTTGATGACCCAGAAACCTTAGTTAGTCAAGAAGTTAAGAAGTTTCCCCAAATTATACATCCTGAGTCCCCTTTTCATGATTTTGTTAGCAATAATGGGAAGCTACTCAAATTCACTGACTTTTTCATGTATCTGTGTAATGTGGGTTTTTTTTGTTGTTGTTGTTGTTCTGTTTTAAAAGAATGTTCACTAAAGAAGATTTTAGAGCTAAAACACCAGGAAAGTAGAAAAAACAAAAAGCTAATATCTACTTTTGTTGCACTATTCAAATATATAATCCCTGATAACAGTATCCTGAATATATTTTAAACTGAATGATAACAGTAGTGTATGTGTGTGTACATTTATTTTTCCCATAATAAAATAATTCATGTTTACTAAGAAAAAACTGGAAAGAAATGTGCCTATATTTCACCTATGATTAATTAATATTTTGTATTCTATATGTTTTTTAAAAATTGCATATAGTAATTGTCACTCTACACAGTTTTCTTTAACAAATATTAATGATTGTAAAATTTTATTATCAAAAATCTGATCTTGATTTGAGTACTCTGTGGCTATTAATTACTGTTGCTGATTATTCTTGTGATAATTAATGAGTGTCCACTCTATGCCAAATAACGTTCTAGATGCTGAGACTACAGCAGTGTAATAGACAAAGGGTAGATTTTTGGACTGATAGTAATCATGTAAAAGGAATAATGTTTTTAGAGAGTGCTAATTATTATGAAGAAAAGAAGTTAGGGTAAGGGATAGAGTAACGTGAGGAGTATGAGTATTTCACAGAAGTCATCTGAGGAGGGTGGTGTATAAGCAGGGACCTGAATTATGAAGTTAAACACACGAAGACCTGCCAAGGGAAAGAGGAGGAGAGGGAAGGGGCATGTTCTAGGCAGAGGAAATAATAAGAAAAGAAGCAAGTTCTATGTGTTGGGGAGCAACAATAAGGCTAATGTGACCGCAGCTTACATAGTTAGGAAGGAGTAAAAAAAGAAGTAGGCAGAGGCCCAATATTGAATAGTCCTTTAGGCCATAACAAATATATATATATCATCAAAAAACCAAACTCACTGCTGTTGAGTTGATTCTGACTCACAGCGACCCCTTTTGGGTTTCCGAGGCGGTAAATCTTTATGGAAGTAGATTGCACAGTCTTCTTCTGCAGAGTGGCTAGTGGATTTGAACCACCAAGCTTGTGGTTAGTGGTCAAATGCCTTAGGCATTACGCTACCAAAAACTGGAAAAAAAAAACCCAAATTCACTGCTGTCAGGTCGATTCCAACTCATAGCAACCCCTCCTTGGGTTTCTGAGGCAGTATCTCTACGGAAGTAGATTGCCCAATCTTCGTTCTGAGGAGTGGCTGGTGTGTTTGAACAGCCAGCCTTCTGGTTAGCAGTGAAATGCCTTAGGCACTACACCACCAAAGTGCCTATCTATCTATAAATAATTTTCTAAGTGTGATAGGCAGGCATTGGAGGGCTTTTAATATGGGTGACATCTGATTTCTGTTTCTGAAAGGTGATTTTGGTTGCCAGGTGAGAATGCACTGTATAGTGGCAAGAATGGAAGCAAGGAGACTACTAAGAGATGATAGTAATTTGGTCTAGAGTGGTAAGTTTGAAAAAGTCTGGATATATTTCAAAGGAGAACCAAGGATGGAGGGAGTGAGGGAGAAGGAATCAAGGATGATTCCCAGATGATTCCATTGACCTGAGCAACTGGAGGTGAATGCCTCTGTGCTGAACTGAGTTGGTATAATAGAGAGAAGCAGGTTTTGGGGAGGTGCAGGGATGACAGAAAATCAAAAAGTGCCTAATAGACATGTTGGTAGAAATACGAAGATAAGAAACATTTTTTAAAAATTATTTAAAGACTTCTAGATTAAATAAATTTCACTCTCTTAGTATGTAAGGTTGCTACCCAACTTAGAAGTTTTCTTTTTGCCTTTTCACCATTTTACTAAAATACTAATCTAGAAATAGACTTCTCTTGGCTCTACTTAATGAAAGTGAACCAGCTTCTTGACTTGAAAGTATATGTTAATATACTTTTCTTACAAATGTAATTAGTGGTCCTAGAAACATTATCTTCACTGTAAATTGCCATTCATTCAGTACATCTTCTGTGTGAGTTTTTACATAGAGAAATTAAGTAAGCATAAAAGAAACATGAACACAGAATACAGATTCACTTTATAAAACATCTATTTTAATAATGTTATTTTCATACTAAGATCATAACTGACTTGCTTATATTTTTCTAGTCATTTAATGTCTTAAGTATGTTTTTTAAATGTTGTACACAGTAATTGTCATTATAAGCAGTTTCATCTTATTGTTGAAGATCTGTGATCTTGATTTGCATGTTCTTATTAATTAATGTGATAATTATTGAGTGTCCACTCTATGCCAAATAATGCTCTAGATATTGGAAATACAGCAGTCAATACAGCTTAGACTTTTGGACTTAGCAACAGGTAATAATCATGTGAAATGAATAAATAATATTATTTTAGACAGTGATAATTATATAGATTAGGAGAATAAAGAGAATTACCACAATTATACACTCAAATGTTTTTGTATTTTAATGACATTTGGGGAAATTGTTTAAATGTTGTAAAATAGATACTCAATCTTTATATAATCTTCTAAATACTTTTTATGTTAAGATAGCTTTTTTATATATGTGTTTTATATATATTTAAACTATCTTTATTTACTTATTTATTTCAATTTACCAGTTTTTCCCCATAACCTTGGCTGTGGATAGACACAATGTTTTAATGCTGATTTCAAATTAACACCCTGATTTTCTGGAGGAAAAATATACCTGGAATAAACTTTCTAATACCCTTTAAGGGTTTGAATCTTGGCTACAAGATTATCCAAGTTACTAACTTGGATAAGTTAATTAACTACTCTGTACCTTAGTTTTCTTCTTTGTAAAATGGAGAAAATAACCCATACAGTATTGTTGTTATGTGCCATCGAGTCGGCCCCGACTCATAGCGACCCCTCCTTGGGTTTCTGAGGCAGTATCACTACGGAAGTAGGATTGCCCAACCTTCCTTCCGAGGAGTGGCCGGTGGGTTTGAACCGCCAGCCTTCTGGTTAGCAGTGAAGTGCTTTAGCCACTATGCTACCAGAGCTCCTATACAGTATTAGTAGGATTAAATAAATGAATATGATAAAATGATTAGAACAGTGCCTAGCACATAGTAGATATGCAGTAATTGGTAGCACTTTATGATTATGATCGTTATTGTATACAGGTAAGTTGTTTGTTTACATGATATGTATTTTTCTTAGTAAAGTTGACTTTGAGTATTTGAATCATTCATTACTGCCTAATGTTCTCTTTTCTAAGTAGCCTTTAGCAGATTACATGTTGAGTATGAATCAGTATGAGTAATTTGATATGTCAAATATAAGTATGTAGCCTGTGTTCTAAAATAATTGGTTGAATTTGTAGGAGAGTAGCTGGCAGTTCAAACCCACCAGCCACTCCTCGGAAGGAAGGTTGAACAATCTACTTTCATAGTGATACTGCCTGAGAAACCCAAGGAGGGGTCGCTGTGAGTCAGGTCTGACTCCATGGCACATAACAATGACAGCAGCATATTTTCATATTGAACTTATTAGATTAACATTGCGAAATATTTGCTTAAAATTGAATTTTAGTTGACCAGATTTTCTGCATTGGTCTAAATCAGTACTGTATAATAGAAATGTAATGCAAGCTACGTATGCAGTTTTAAACTAATATAAAAAGAAATAGACAAAGTTAATTTTAATAATGTATTTTATTTAAACCATTATACCCAAAGTATTTCAACATAAAACTGATATTTTAAAATGACTGGGATATTTTACGTATGTATTCTTAATACTAAAGTCTTACAAATCTGGTGTATATTTTACACTTACTGTATATCTCAGTTGGAACTAGGTACATTTCAAGTTCTCAATAGCCATATGGGGCTAGTGGCTATAGTATTGGATAGCACAGAACCAGATATATTTATTACTAGCTTTTTAATGTTTTTGAACTAAAAATACTGAGTTAAAATGTGTAAAAGGGGGATTCATTTAAAATAGGCAGTTCCCAAGTTCAGCCAACTGAAATTCAGAAAAAGATGATACCATCTTTTTTGCAAATATTTAAAATATTCAGTAACTGCCGGATACCAATTAAATAGTTAACTGATATCCCCCAAGTGTTTAGCGTTAATCTTAGTGATAATCCTTTTGTTAAGTAGGAGTAAGATTTTTTGGGGATAGTAACTTGATGTTGTATCTATGTATGTGTATATGTATTAAAGATAAATTACATTGGTAACATTTGGAAATAGTGTTACATGCCTATATAGAATATGTGATTTTTTTTTCCTCTCTGTGATTTTTATAGACCAAGATGTTTATGTCTTATACTTAGAAGAAGCAATATTACATGCTCTCATAAAATGGAATTGTTTGTTGTTTGATTGGAAATAACTATTTTTGTTCATTCTTCCATAATACAATGAAACAAATTAACCTTTACCATTAAACTTTTTGTTAGTTAATATTGTAACCTCACTATGGTTCTTTCTTGCTAAAGGTAGGAATTCCTGCAACTAACTAGTTTTTGTTTTATTCTTTTTTTATCTCAGGTCGTTCATATTCTGTATGTTCTCCAAGAATGCTTAATCAGTGTCTGGAGTCCTTGGTGCAAAAGGTGCAAAGTGGGGTGGTAATAAACTTTGAAAAAGCAGGACCAGATCCTTCTCCTGTGGAAGGTATTATTGTACTTACAGATATTCTAAACTTGCTTTATCGGTTGTTCAAGTACAACTGATTGCTATGATTGAGCTTTTATAATAAGGTAACAAAAATTGGTTTTGTAATGAGGTAAGATTTAAATAGGAAAGTCAAGGAAAACTGATAATGGTTCATTAACATCTTTTTATATTAATGATGTTCATAGCCTTCAATTTTAATAAGAGCCAAAAACCAACCTATTTTATAGATAAACATCCTTATATTTCCTTATCCCTTTTGTACTGTTGCTTCTCTCCAGCATGAACGCTTCTCTTATGTCCTTTCATTCATAGTGTTCAACCCTAGGTGTTTATTTAATTCCTTAGCTACATTGTTCCAAGGATCAAACTGATCGGAACCAAATGGTTTTCATAGGTCTAAAAACTAGAAAATAGCCTCTGCCATTAGATTTGACTATTTAAACTCCAGCTAGGACCTACCTAGCTATATTCTCAGCTTTTGTGATCATGAACTTTTTATATTAGCCAGGGGGGTATAAGGAGTTACAGGAGGCCCTGGATACCCCAAATGGTTAAGACTCAACTACTGGCTAAAAGGTTGGTAGTTTGAATTTACTCAGAGGTGCCTCAGGAAACAGGCCTGGTAACCTACTTCTGAAAGGTCACAACTTTGAAAACCCTTTGTTGCAGTTCTACTCTGCTCATATGGGGGTCACCATGAGATGGAATTGACTCAACGGCAGCTAACAGCAACACCATAAGGAATTATACTAGAACCAAGGACAATTTACGGCCAGATCTCTCTGCACTGAACATTGGGAGAGGTGAGCCACTAGAGAGCATAATTGAGAGAAAGGTAATAGGGAAAAAAGAATGGGATTATACAGAAGGAACAGAAGATGTAAAACTATATAAATTACATTATTGTGCTTGATTTATAAAACAAACTTGTTAGACATGGAATGTATTGATTTTTATTTTAGTGTTTGGTTTACAGTTAGGCACTATAAATGTTTACTGAATTATATAAAAATTAAAACTATTTTGCTAGAATTAGTTTGGTTAACGATAGGTGCTTTGAATCTGGATTGGCATGTGAAGTTTGTTTATTTTTTGAGGCATTACTAAACTATAGTTAAAATGATTTTTAAGAAAAAGTCTTTTAGCAATACTTAACTCTGTGTATGGTGCTATTTATGGCACTGGGATGTGATAAGGAAGGAGGTACATTGAGTGCTTGCCCTTATCATTCATTAAGCAAACATTTACTGCAGAGAATGTTTTACATGTCCTCTCAACTGGAAGACTGATACAGCTGGAATTTGTAGGTTTTGTTTTCTAGTGAAATTTAATCTCTTAATCTATTCTAAATGTTAAGCAGTAATGATAGTATTTTACCATTTAAGTAAATAGGAGAAGTCCAGAAATGAGCAAGCATTAGAATGTTTTTATTAACTTGAATAATAATGGATATGATTTAACTTACTTTCGCCTAATGATAAATGCTTTTTTTTTTTTTGCTATTGATTTCTTTGCTATAGATGGGCAACCAGATGTATCAAGGCCTTTTGGATCTCAGCCTTGGCATAGTTGTCACAAGCTCATATATGTCAGACCAAACCCTAAAACTGGGGTTCCTATAGGTCACTGGCCTGTTCCAGAATCTTTTTGGCCAGATCAGAATTCTCCAACACTAGTAAGTACCAGAGAGACTATGACTATAATAGTAACCATTTAGTGCTTTTAACATTAGTTTTGAATACTATTGTCAGTTAAAGGTGTGGCTCATTTAGGGAAATTAGACAGATGGTCCAAGATGATAAGCTATTGCTTGTTTATGAAGAAATAGAAAAGAAACATTTTTTTCCTTTAGAATTTAGTATCATCTTTACATTTTCATTATTGGCCGTTGGGTACAGAATCACAAATGTAGCGAGATTTTCTCTTTGGACTCTAAACATAATGTGACATGAGGATTTGTCTTTAGGACACAATTTAGAATTTAAATGAAAGTTTGAAAATAATACTGATAGTTTGCCTGTAATCTTTTTTAGTCTTAGAGATTCATCTTGACTTGAATGCTTTCAGTTGTATCCATTGTTTTGTTCTGGAGGTTTAAGATAGAAAAGATTTTCTAGTCTTATGTACATGAATGATTTTTAGGAACAGTGAGATCTTTTGAATTATCTTGGTGAATTATCAGTATTCACTATTTGGTCTTAATATAATAGGGTAAAATAAGAAAAATTAATACTTAGTCAGTCTTGGTAGTATATTTTTTTCAGGTTAGTATTTTTCCTAGGGTCTTAGGATATCACTGGTTATTATGTGGGAGAGCATGACAGTGGTTCTCTTTTATATTAGCCATAGAAGATAAGAATTATATTTCAGAGATCATTAAGCAGTCTTTAATGATGTTTCATGGAGCTATCACATATGAATTAAACTGACCCTTTTTGAAACTTTGTATATTCTAATTCTGTATCTGTTCTTCAGGGTAGTGTTTACTTGAAGTCTCTACAAAGTCTATAAAGTGATGTTTCCTTTATTCATTATGGATTTAATAAAGTAGTACATGAAAATGTATATAATAGATACTCATTGAGGTTTTATAAGTTTCAGTGAAGTATCCATCTTCTTTATTACTTTTCTATCATAACTTTTTAGTCTGCCCTCATAGAGAAGCTCTTGATTCCTTTGGCCATTTTACTTTCTCTCTGGAACTCTTTCAATTAATATCATATTTGTATGAAATGTATTGGTTTTTCATTTTATTTATTCAATACCTGCAGTAGTACTGTATGGCACGTGTAAAGTCCTAATGGAACGAAATCCAAAAACTAGTTTCACAAGCATATCTATTAATATTGCTGAAATAGTCTACTGCAAATTGTCACAAGCCTTACAGGCTTTTGAAGTGTGAGTAGGATTTCAGTTAGAGAAGGAAACAGTATGAGAAAATTATGGAGGTAAAAAAGAACAGGATGTATTTGGAGGAATGACATGTAGCTGAGTTTGGGTGGATCATAGCATATAGAACTGTTGAAATAAGTCAAATTGCTGATGAGCAATTTTAAGGAATTAGAGCTTTTTTTGTTTTTTCCAGTGGGGATCAAAGAATAGTTGAAGATGTTTTTTTAAGAGCATGGCATCGTTAAGTGATGCTTTAGGAAAATTAATCTATTGGTTGTTATATGCAGCAAAATTGGAAGGAAATGAGTTGGAAGGCAGGCAGCTGGCAAGAGGGCTATTGGTATGGTCCAGGTAAGAGATAGTAAGAGCTTAAATTAAGATGATGGAAGAGAGACTCATAAGAAAGAGATAATACTGGAAAAAACTGGCAAAATTTAGTAAATGAAGGATATTTTAGGGGAAATGGGATGTTTATAAATTTCCATAGTATTTGAAACAAGACGTATTGATACTGAAATGAAATGTGATTTATTAGAAAGTGATTCTGAATTTAAATGATGATTCTACCAGTAATTAGCTATGTGACTTTAGTTGATTATCTTCTCTAAGCCTCAATTTCCCACAGTCTGTTAAATGGAAATACTAGCTCCTATCTCATAGGATTGTTGTCGCGAATAATTGGAAAAATGAATAAATAAATGCAAAATTTTCTTTGCTTAGATTAAAATTAGACAAGTTCAAGAGCATCCCCCCAGCCCTCTGCCTCTTTCTCCCTTGGATTTCGATATTTTTGTCCAAAAATTAAGGATGTTTCATGTGTCTGATACACATTTGGCACAGGAGCATAAATGAATAAAACATAATGTTTAACTTCTTGAAGCTCACCATTCTATGGGCCAGTCAGACATGTAAACATACTCTAGAGTGTAGTGTGCTAACTGTAATAGAGAGGTGCAACGGAGCCCGGGAGAGGTGGTATCTAAGTACCCGGTATTATTTGGGGTATAGGGTGAGAAAGGGTGTCAGGGAAAAGGTTCTCTTAGAGATTGGTGCTTGCCAACCCATCTTTCATTTATAAAATGTGCAAGAAAGAAAATGATAAAGCAGTCAGGGATAACATGGGGTCATGAAAGGTAATGAATGACCTGTTTGGGTAACTGCACATTTACATGGCTGGAGCACATGGTCCATATGGCGTGGTGGCTAAAACGCATATAGGCAGCTGGATCATCAAGGATCTTTACATATGGTGTTAAAATTTTAGGTGAATGGAAGCTACTTTGGATGATTTTAGGTAGAGAAATTACTGATCATATGAGGGTGATGTGGACATGGTATAGATTGGAAGAGGACTGATTAGCTAGTGAGATTAATGAAAAATTGGCTTTACTAGTTTAGTCTGGTAAGAAATGGTTAAAGTGGTAAGCAATAGAAGATAAATTTCTAGAAAGGTGAGAATTTAGTATTGACACAGAAAGCAATTGATACTGAGCACCAGTCATCTTTTTATCTAGGTCTTTGAGATACTATTTACAGCTTACTATGGAGGATGAGGGGGCGATATCAAGGATAACGTGTAGGTTTTTAGAACAGGTTTTGCTGTTTGGAGGAGAAATAATGAATTGGACATAATGTGTTTAAGGGTCCTCTAGAAGATTTGGGTATGTCTAGTAGGAAGTTTGATACATTAGAGAAATGAGAAATTTGGTCACTCACTACACAGCAGGTTTGGGAGCAATTGCACTATAGATAGTATCTGAGTCTCAGAGAATCTTTTATAGCTGTGAATTTTTTAATTATTTCCTCATAACTCATATTTTCTTCAGTTGGTTTCTTCATAGATTGCTTAGGAGGGGAATTACTAAGAGGTAAACAGGAGAATAATATGCCTTTTAAATAGTCCTGTGCTTTTTATACCCCTGGAACAAGGGTCTACAGGGTTGGATGTGCATGCCACAACAGTAACCAAAACAATCCATTGAAGTAGGGAAAACAAATATTAGAACTTCTGTTTATGTTTATTTATTTCTCCTGTTTTAATATAATTTTTGTATATATTTTATTTACAATAATATTGATAATTTATAAATGAGTATATATATGTTCTAAAAAGGAGCTCTGGTAGCATAGTGCCTAAGGCACTTGACTGCTAACCAGAAGACTGGCGGTTCAAACCCACCAGCTACTCCTCGGAAAGAAGGTTGGGCAATCTACTTCCATAGTAATACCACCTTGGAAGCCCAAAGGGGGGTCACTGTGAGTCAGGTCCGACTTGACGGCACATAACAACAACAACAACATGTTCTAAAAGGATCCCTGATGGCACAGTGGTTAAAGCACTCTGTTGAGAACTGGAAGACCGGTGGTTCAAAGCCACCTGGGAGAAAGATGAGGTAGTCTGCTTCTGTAAAGATTTACAGCCCTGGAAACCCTGTGGGGAAGTTTTACTCTGTCCCTCTGAAGGAAGGTTGGGCAATGTACTTCTATAGTGATACCGCCTCGGAAACCCAAGGAGGGGCCACTATGAGTTGGATCTGACTTGACAGCAGTGAGTTTGGTTTTGGTTTATAGAGTCAGAATCAACTTGATAGCAGTGGGTTTTTGTCCTAATCTATTACATATTAAATAACTTCTTACCGATCAAGATATTTGATCACTTTAGAAGCCACTAATATATAGGGAGCTTTGATGGCATAGTGCCTTCTGCTAACTAGAAGGCTGAAGTTTCAAACCTACCAGCCACAAGTAATTAAATTGCTTCAAATGAAGACTTAGGAAGGTTTCTATACATTCCTTATTTCTTGGATACAAACGTTAAAGAGTACTTACTTAATTCTAAAATTTTGCATTTAAGTTATTTGATGTTATTTTAAAACCTGAAAAGCCTTTCATTTTGTATAGGTTTTGAAATTTTCTTTTTCTTGTGAATGTTAAATAATTTAAGCTACATTTTAAAGTATTGTCTTTCATCTAATGGTGCTTTTAGTAGTAAAGATCCCATTCTCACTAGCAAAACTTAGGAACTGAGTATATTTTGATAGTGAGGAATACTTAAAATGAGTTTGTCTCTGGTGTTTTGTGTAGATAGTAATAATAAGATTTTCCCTCTAGCCACCTCGTACATCTCATCCTGTAGTGAAGTTTTCCTGCACAGACTGTGAACCCATGGTTATTGACAAATTGCCTTTTGACAAATATGAGTTGGAACCTTCACCACTGACTCAATTTATCCTGGAAAGGAAATCTCCTCAAACATGTTGGCAGGTAAGCTGAACAACTGTAGTGATTAAAAATTTAAGTTACATGTTTCTTAAAATGTTAAATTGACTCAGTGGTTTAACATTCTTTAAATGTTATTAAATATGAAGTTTTAACAACTCCTTTTTAAACAGGTATATGTGAGCAATAGTGCAAAATATAGTGAACTTGGTCATCCTTTTGGTTACTTGAAAGCCAGTACAGCACTGAACTGTGTCAATTTATTTGTGATGCCTTACAATTATCCAGTCCTTCTTCCCCTTTTAGGTAAGTAATTCCTGTAACATTTTCTGTGGCTCAGCATAGAACGAAGTTTTCTAAAAGTAAACTTTGGGAACATCTCTTTTTGTAATTTTTCTTGTCTTCTGGAAATTAATGAAAATGTTTTTAATATGAAAAGGTTAAGCTTCTCTAAAGAAATGTTTGTAATAGCCTGTTTATGTTTGTGGCAAATTGAAATTCAGTGTCAAAACATCTTTTATTCTACATACTTATAAAGCTATTATGTTCTTAAATTTGACATTAAGTATTTAAATTTTTCTGCAATTTAGGTAGTTAGAATTAGTAATGTGGGCTTTATGTTTTGTTAAATAAGACATTTTTATGAAAGCATTATATTCACAAGTTCTGAGTGTATTTTCTTTCAAATAATATATACTTTAGTTTTCATTTGGAAAAAAAAAAAATTAAATAAAGGAGTCTGTCTCAAAAGTTAGTTTCTAAGTATCAATCTGGCTGTAATTTTTGAGGATTACTTTTGAAGAAGATTTCTTTCCCTCCATGGAATCACCTCAAGTTACAGTAAAAAACTAACTAGTAGGGTATGTTTTATAGAAAACATTGCATACCTTGTTTCTCTTGTCTAACCTGTTTTGTGTCCAGGTCTATACAGGATACGGATATTTTTTCTTGTATTTCCTGATTCTACCTTTATTATTACATAAAATTTTAGATCATAATTGACATCTTTTCATTTTTAAATGGTATTACCAAGAGAGAAACTCCAGGCCCATAATTTCCTGCTTTCAATTTTTAAAAACGTATATCTAATGCTACTATCTCTTTAGAAACAACAAAGCACAGGCTTTAAAAAGGAAACTTCTTTGACTTCATTTTTATGTATGAAAACAGTGATAGTAGTTTGTTCATACTATACATTTTCAGATGACTTGTTTAAAATACATAAAGCAAAACCAACACTGAAATGGAGACAGTCATTTGAAAGTTATTTGAAGACGATGCCTCCCTACTATCTTGGGGTAAGAATATTATTATTGTTAAAATAGAACTGTTATGTAAAATTTTACATTCTTACAGGTTACTCTGAGTATTGCAAACATTCATTGCTGTTGTAGGCTAAATGTCATGAAAATTGTGTGTACAGTTGACGATTATACCAATACAGATAGAATGATAAAGCTGTGTTTCAGTGATTTATAGAAAGGCAGTGATGATGGTGGTGGTTGTGGTGATGCTGATAGTGAACACTGACATGATGCTGACCACAGGCCAGCTATTGTCTGAAGCACTTTACGTATGCAACAACATGGGTTACTTCATACAGTAACCCTGTGAGGTAGAAACACTAATTATTCCTGTTTCATAGATAAGGAAACTAAGGCACTAAAGGTTTAAGATGCTTGTCCACAGCTACATAACTAATACATATAGGGGTATGGGAGGCTGAAATTCAACCCCAGGTAGTCTTGCTTTAGTGTATTTCATGTGAACCTTGATTGTTATACTGCTTTTTAAAATTACAGTTTTATCATTGTTTCTCTTTAAGGATACAAAATGTGTGTTGTTGCATTATTTTCCAAATCCCTAGAAACACCTTTTTAGGTAGCAAAGTATATATTCTCAAAGAACCTTATACTTTCAGAAAACCTGATTACTTAAAAACTACTGTATCTTGGTAGATAAGACCAAAATCATTTATATTAATTAATGTAGGAAAAGTCACTTCTTAACAAAAGTCCTACATTAAAAAACACTTTTAATCACTTCTGCTTTTTCTATTATAAATTTATAATAGAGATATTATAGCGTTTGGCTATAACTGATCTTTCCAAATAGTCTCTAAGGTACTTAGAAAATTAATTTCTTGAGCTTTGAAAATCATAACATCTTAGAGAAAAATTGTATCAGCATCTAGTGTGCCTGACATGTAAGAGGATGAAAAAGAAAAATCACTTAAAATGTGGAAATGCTGCCTATCTTGACTCATTTACATTTCATAGCAGTCCTTCGTCCAAGCTACATGGATATTAAATATCAGAGCTGGGATTTGATTGTAGTTTGATACCAATACTTATTCTTTCTTATATATCAGTTGTTGTTTCAGGAGCCCTGGTGGTGCAGTGCTTAAGCATTTGGCTGCTAACAAAAAGGTTGGTGGTTTGAACCCATCAACTACTTTAAGGAAGAAAAATGTGGCAATCTGCTTCTGTGAAGAAGCAGCCTTGGAAACACTATGGGACAGTTCTACTTTATCATATAGGGTTGCTTTGAGTTGGAATTGACTCAATGACATCCTATTATAGACTGTATTCCACTTACAGACACTCGCGTTAGAGACTTTTTTTTGTTGCACCAAAAGAGTCTGAATTGGTATCCCCCTTACAATTGAAAATTATTTAACTATACCACATCTGTAGTAAATATTAATCTATTTTTTCCTTCTCCTTGTATTTCCTTCTTGTTTCTTGTGTTTTTCTTTTAACTTCAGCTAATGATAATAATAGAAATGATTAACACCTACTGAATGCTTACTATGAGCCAGATACTTTTATAAGTGCTTTACATGTATTAACTCATTTTATTCCATAATCCTATAAGGTAGACATTATTATTATTCCCATTATACTGATGAGAAAAAGATGTAACCTAAGTGGTAGAGCCAGAGCCCTCAGTTTCCCAAGTTAGAAAACTTGGATTTTCCTCTACTCCTTTTTCTTTCTACCCACGTTCTGTCACATCTACCTCTATAACTTGTCTCCTGTCAATTTCTTTTAAATTCTGTATCTCCAGAGATACTACAGGGTCCAGGCTTTCACCTTTTTTTGCTCTTGGTTTTGTGATAGCCTTAATCCTACTTACCTCTATTTCAAACTGCTTTTTGTTCTACTGGCAAACATTTTGCTAAAATACAAATACAATTATATTACTCCCTTGCTTACTGAGGAAAAGAAGGGGAAATCTTTTTGGAGAAATTTTGAAAACTAACTTCTTATACATGTAGCCATAAATTTTTAAACAAGCTTAATATTGAATGATATTTCCTTTTCTCCTGTAGCCCTTGAAGAAAGCTGTTAGAATGATGGGAGCACCTAACCTAATAGCAGACAGTATGGAATATGGACTTAGTTACAGTGTCATTTCGTACCTCAAAAAATTGAGTCAGCAGGTAATATCAAGAAATAAGAGTAACCTTTATTTTTAATGGTTTTGGCTAATGTGGTTAACAAGCCAGATGCTAGTTCTTAATGGTTCTAATGGAGTTTGATTATATTAATATATTGTATTTTAAAGCACATATATGTTAACATAATTCTATCTCAGGTACATGATGTACTGTCTTTTAAAATGTTAGTTTAATTGTAAAATTTTACAATAATTTTTAGTTTATGAAAATGACATCATTAGTCTGGCCCTAGACTTCTGTACGTGAACATTATGTTTTCTTTTGAGAAATTTATGTTAGAAAGTTATTTTTCTTAGAAAAAGTATCAGTTTCTTCTGCTTTATGTTTTAAAATCTGTGGAATTTTCTTTCCAAGTGGGAATTTCTCTTCAAGTGTTTGTAAAAACACTGAATTTTGCCATTCTGGCCATAAATCACAAAGTAGTACATTACAAGCAGTGTGTACATTTTTAACCAAATCCAAATTATTAATGTCCTGTGAAGTACAGGATTCTTCTACTTTTGACATCTCTAGCTTAACTACTTATCAAAATGCAGGTTGAGTGGTGTTGGAAATATGCTATTTACTTTCAGTGAAAGTTTACACCATACCTATGAATGTTTAGTTGTGTGCTAGTAATAATAGTGTCTTTAAGTAACTATTGATAGGATTTTTTTCCTGATTTTCCAACGTCTCTGAATTGGGGATGTGCACTCTCAATTAGGATGTATTTACGTTTCATGGTTTAAGTGTTTTTATTAGGTATTATCAGGTTCACTCTCACTCACAGTGATCCAGTGAGACACAGTAGAGCTGCCCCATAGGGTTTTCTAGGCTGTAATCTCTGCAGAAGCAGATGGCCAAGTCCTTCTCCCATGTAGCCCTGGGGGGAAGAAAGAGGACAAGACTTGACCCAGCAGCCTTTCAATTAGCAGCCAAGCTCTTAATCATTGTACCACCAGGACTCCTTGGTTAAATTGTAGAGAGTAAAATATTAATGTAAAGGGAATATAAATAAAATAACAAATTGAAGTTTTGTTTGTTTGACCCATCCAGAAGTTTAGAACTGTAATGATTTAAAATCATAAGCATTATTGTTTGAAAAATGTTTACTTGGTACTTGACATAAACTATGCTTCTTAAGTTTTTAATGTATTATATCCTTTCTTTAACTATTTTAATTAGTAGAAGTTCAAAATTTAGAATTAGTATCTGATTTAACAATTTAAATTATGTCAAGATGACTCTTGTTTATTTTTAATTCAGGCCAAAATAGAATCTGATCGAGTTATTGGATCTGTAGGCAAAAAAGTAGTACAGGAAACCGGAATTAAAGTCCGGAGCCGATCACATGGTTTATCAATGGCATATAGGAAAGATTTTCAACAGTTGCTCCAGGGAATTTCAGAAGATGTTCCTCACAGACTGCTAGACCTTAATATGAAGGAGTACACTGGATTCCAGGTTGCGTTGCTGAATAAGGTAAGAGTCATGTGAATTTAGCGCTACTGTAGTTATATTCTGTCGTGCTGTTGAATAAATCATTCTTTCTGTTAACTGACGTTTTGTCAGAATTTTAAGAAATACCTCAATACCTCTGAAGCATAATGATCATTATACTATCATTATACTATCACTGAATCATTGAATTTTAGAATTTAAACAAAAGTACATGTTGAGCACATGGCTGGTTGGACTGATAGAAAGTTAGTTTAACCCATTCATTTTATAGATGAGAAAACAGAGGCTTAGAAATTTGTTTAAAGTTCTATAGCTAATGGTAGCGTTAAGCCACTACAGTCACTGTAGTTTCATACTTATACTGATGTCCTTGGGGACAGCATGTTCTTATCCTCAAATGCCTTATGAATACTCATTTATTAAAAAAGATCATCCCAACAGGCTTTGAAGAAATGGACAAGTTGATTCTCAAATTTACATGTAAATACAAAGGTCCTAGAATAGCCAAGACGGTTTTGGAAAAGAAGAACAAAGTTGGAAAGCTTATGCTGTCTGATTTCAAAACTGTAAAGGTATAATTATTAGTTGATCAATACAGTATAGTATTGACAGAAGGATAAATGTATAGCATAGTAGAACAGAGTAGAGTCTAGAATGATCCTTTACACGTATGGTAATTTAATTTTAACAAAATTGCCAAAATAATTCAGTCGGCAAGAAGACAGTCTTTTCAACATACGGTGCTGAAGCAGTTAGACATCTATTTGTAAAATGATGAACTTTGACTCTAAAAGTAAGAATTAAAACTATAAAACTTGTAGAGGAAAACACTGGAGAAAATCTTTGTGACCTTGGAATAGCAAAGATTTGTAAAAGACAGCACAAAAGGCACAAACACAAAGAAGTGGATCAACTGTATGAAAAAATTTTTTTCTCCCAAAGAAATGGACAGGGAAATTACAAGGTGGGAAGAAGGCATATATCAAATAAAGGACTTCTTATCAAAATATATAAAGAACCCATACAACTTAATAACAAAAAACAAACACCCAATAAAAATGTGTGAATATTTGAACAGACACGTCACCAAAGAAGATATACAGAGGCACATGAAAAAGTGCTTAACATCATTAGTCATCAGGGAAATACAAATTAAAATCATAGTGAGATACCACTTCACACATTTTAGAATGGCTAAAATTTAGAAGACTAAAAAAAATCAAATATTGGTTGGGATGTAGAGCAACTGGAACTCTCATACATTATTGATAGGAAGTAGTTTACAGTTTCTTAATAAAGTTAAACATATACTTGTTACCCAACTCAACAAGCAGTTCTACTTATAGGTATCTACCCAAGAGAAAAGAAAATGTATGTCCGTGTAGAGAGTTGTATACAAATGTTCATAGCAGTATTATTCATAACAGCCAGAAATTGGAAACAATCCAAGTGCTCGTTAATTGGTGAGACTATTAATGCATCAACAACTTGAATGAATATCATCATGCTAAGTGAAAAAGATAGATGCAAATGATTTTTATCTTGTAAGATTCTATTTATAAATGGAATACATGTAGAGAGAAAGCAGATAGTGGTTGCCTGGGGGGATGGAATGGGGATTGACTGCAAATGGTCACAAGGAACTTCTGGGGTGAGGAAGTGTTCTGAACCTGGATTGTAGTGATGGCTTCACAGCTATAAATTTACTAACATTCGTCAAACTATATATTTAAACTAAATATATATGTATTTAAACTGTATATTTAAAAATGACTTTATGTATGTAAATTATGCCACAAAGGAGTTTTAAAACCTTTAAAATCTTTAAAATTTAGAAATTGGTTTCTTAAGATATTTACTTCTCTTAGCTAGGTATCTTGTATATCATTTTCAGAACTATGTTACAAGCTAAAGATTTTACTGTCTTTTAATTCTACACTTGAAAATTTTGTCTTTAAATATTTCAACAATAGGATTTGAAACCACAGACATTTAGAAATGCTTATGACATACCAAGACGGAATCTTTTGGATCACTTAACAAGAATGAGATCCAATCTTTTGAAGAGCACCCGCAAATTTCTTAAAGGACAGGATGAAGGTTAGATAATGGTGTTAATACTGGTATTTCTTTTGTATCTTTTTCTTTGCAGTATGGAAAACAGTAGTATGGTGATTAAATTTTAAAGAATTATTATAATAGTATTTTTAGTCTCTTTGTAAATCCAGACAAATGAAATAAAAAATGAGTCATTCCTGTTTCTCTACTTTTCTCTCTACCATCACTGTTGTTCCAAATTTTATTCTCCAGAGGTAAACTTTGACTTCATCTTTAGCTTTCCTCATACATTTACAACTTGGGTAGATACATAGACAATCATTTTCCTGTGCTAGTATCTTGTGGGTTAACTCTGTATGGCCAGTATATGACATGTTCTATATTTCACCTGTATCCATGGCATCTACCACACATCAGATCAGTTGATAATGTAAGCCTTTGCTGTCTCCAACCATTTTAATTATAGCTTTATATAAATAGGGTTATCTATGTGACTTCTCATACCTGTAAATTCTGCTGTAATTCAATAATTCTGTTTACTTGGAACAAAGTAGGAGAGTTGCACCTTTTCGTGGTAAGAGTATAGGTTTATGCACTGAAATTAGCTGTAAAGTTTTTGTTTAGAAAACAAAGTCAGTATTTTATTTATTTTGAAATATTTTAAATTTGATTTTTAAAATTCAAAGAATTTATGCTACATATTTATAATTGCAGCAAACTAACTTAGAATATGTATTAAGGGAATAACACTAGGTACCATTCATATATGAGAATACATTATTTGATACCTAGATAGATATAGTTTTAGTGAGGCTGACTTTTGTTGTTGATATATTCTGTTTTCAAAGATCAAGTGCACAGTGTTCCTATAGCACAAATGGGAAATTACCAGGAATACCTCAAGCAAGTACCTTCTCCATTACGAGAACTTGATCCTGACCAGCCTCGAAGGTTGCATACATTTGGTAACCCCTTTAAGCTGGATAAAAAGGTAAAAAGATATTTTGTCCGCTTCAGTAGTGTAAAGTTTACAGACACTGATGTTACTGTGTAATAAGTTAAAATTCTCTTTATTGGGTAGTCTTAAACATGGTCTAAGAGAATTTGATTTCTACTCATACTGTAAGCTTAGTAGTTAATCTTTTATTTAATCACTCATTCCTTCATTTAGTCATTTAACATATATGTATATGGAATACTTGGCTAGGTGCCAAGGATTGTGGTAGGCACTATGGATTTAACAGTTCTTGATTTAACTAAAGTAAACTGAAGCTATTTACTTTGCTGAATATTTGATAAATGGCAACATAGTTATAACACAGTTGTTTTAATTGGAATTAGAATTAGTTGTGCCATTTCAAAATTGGGTGGTGGTTAAGGCATTTGGGTGCTAACCAAAAGGTCAGCAGTTTAAACCTACCAGCTGCTGTGTGGGAGAAAGATGCAGCAGTCTGCTTCCATAAATATTTACAGCTTTGGAAACCTTATGGGGCAGTTCTGCTCTCCCCTATAGGGTCTCTATGAGTTGGAATCTACTCAATGGCAGTGGGTTTTTTTTTTTTTTAATATATATGTATATGTAATGTAAGTTACATATTTTTTGCTATAGGGTATGATGATAGATGAAGCAGATGAATTTGTGGCTGGACCTCAAAATAAACATAAACGACCTGGAGAACCAAATATGCAAGGGATCCCCAAAAGACGTCGGTGTATGTCTCCGTTACTAAGAGGCAGACAGCAGAATCCTGTTGTGAACAATCATATTGGAGGAAAAGGACCACCTGTACCTATGACTCAAGCACAGCCTGATCTTATTAAACCCCTCCCTCTTCATAAAAGTAGGAGTTAAACTATGATTTCCTGATTTTTTATTTCTCTTTAGGGAGGAGCTTTTTGTAGTAAATTTCAGAAGAACTTGGTTGATAAGAGTCCAATAAGTATCTTGAGGGGATATTTGTTTATTTTTAATTAGCATGTGATCATTTTTGTCTGTCTTTTTAATGAATGAATGTTGAGCATTTCGTATATTCATGATACTTTGGTAGCTATTGTACAGTAAAACATCCTTTGCAATCTTAAGTATACCAAAATAACAGCTTAAAAAGGTATTGTCTATCTCACAGAAAAGATGGTTTTCAATTTTACTTTAATTCAACAACTAATTATTAAATGCATAGTCTGTTGAGGTATACCAGTGAATAAGAAAATAGTGACCTTTGCCCTCGTTTATAATGAGTGAGAAAAGAAGGTCATTGCACAAATGTTCAACATGTGATGTATGATCAGTGTTACAAAAGAGAAGTCAGGTATGCTGTGAAGACATGTGGCAAGAGGAGTTAATCTAGGAGTTCAAGGAAGGAGCTCTGGTCGTGCAGTGGTTAAAGCATTGAGCTGCTAACCAAAAAGTTAGCAGTTCGAACCCACCAGCTGCTCCATGGGAGAAAGAGGAGGCAGTCTGCTTCCATGAAGATTTACAGCCTTGGAAACCCAAAAAGGAGTTGCTCTGAGTTAGAGTTGACTCATTGGCAGTGAGTTTGGTTTAGTTGGTTTAGGTAGTATTCTAATAAGAGTGCAAAGGTATAAAGTAAAGAAGATGGCATTAAAGGAGTTGAAAAGAGTATTAGTGTGACAAGGGTGTTGGGAATGAAGTAAGATGAGACTGAAAGATAGGCTGAGGCCAAATCATGAAGGACCTTGGAAGCTATTGGAAAGATTCTGGACTTTATTCTAACAACAGTGAGAATCCATTGAAAGGTTCTATAACACTAGAGAAAGTAGCCAATCCAAATTAGCATTTTATAGAAGACCAGAATTACTGGTTGCATGGAGCCTGGTGAAACCCTCAAGACTGGCCCTGGGTTATCTTTTGGGCTTGGAACAGAACTCATTTCTGTGGATTAGCCCTCAGCCAAAGAGTAGAAAGGATTACATACAGGACACCTGCCTACCCCAGGGAGATGCACCCCTTAGATCAGTCAGCCGTGAGAGATCAGAAGGGCACTTGCATAGGGGAAAAGCTGGACAGACAGGAATATATACATAAGAAGGAAACAGGGTAGGAGTAGTCACAGGGAAAGTTAAGAGGGGAAAAAAAAAAAAAAAGCCTTTTACAAAGATCTGGGCAACTATAATGTAGAATGTTTATCAAGAGGGGCAAGAATGGATGGATGTAGGGACTTCTTAATAAATTAATGGATAATAGACAGTGAGCAGTAGTGGCTGACAACATCCTAACTGGAGAGAACCCAAATTTTATATACTTCCTAGTGGAAGTATACAATACTACATCTGAAGTAGTCTAACAAAAAAGAAAATTTGAACATTAATCTGATAAGCTTCTGAATCTAACTACTAATTTTCAGTAAATACAAGAACCTGTCAAATGGCAAAACAGGGATACAATTAGCAAAATCCAGATTGTGAGAAGCTCTATAGGAAAAAGAATCTGTTGTGGATTTTTGTTTATCCTAGAAGAAGATGCTTAGAAAAAAGAAAGGTGCAGAAGTATTTTATAGCTTAAAAGATAGCCAAGAGACGCATTAACCACTTGTAATATACAGGTCTCATTTGCATTTTGAATCAAACAAAAACTCTTCCACAAACAGAAACTGTGTAAGATAATTGGCAAATGTGAACATTGACTAGATATTTGATGTTATTATATAATAATTGTGAATGGAGAGGGACCATCTAGGAGGCTATTATAGAAACCCAGGAAAGAGATAATGAAAACCTGACAGTGAGGAAATATGTATTTGATAAATACTTGGACATATCAGCAAGGGACTTGGTGATTGATTAGATGTTAGGTCCAGAGCAAGGAGGAAGTCAAATTTCTGCCTTGAGAGATATTGGGTACGTGATGGCATCATGTTTGGGGTAGGGGAAAAGATGAATGAGTTTAGAAATGCCTGTTAGATCATCATGTGGAGATCCTTAGAAGATGGAAATTTAAGTTTGGGACTTGGAAGAGAGGACTGGGCTAGAATTACAGCCCATTGGAGTGAATAAAATCTCACCCAGGTTTAGGAACCAAGAAGCGAAAGAGCCTTAGGACAGACCTTCCGAGTACCAAAGTTAAGAGGAGGAGAAGATTCAGAAAAAGACATAGAAATGAAAGAATCAGGTAGGAGAAAATAGAGGAGAATTTAGTGTCAAGTGAGCCGGGAGAGAGAATTTGAGTGACTGGTGGTCTCAAATACTTCTTGAGTAGATCAATCAAGATCGGAAAGATTCTGTTGGTCTTTGGCTGTCTTAGCAAGAACAATCTTAGTGGAATAAAGGGGGCAGAATGCTAAACAAGTGCGTTAAGGGAGGTGTGAGAGATGAGAAAATGAAGATAATGAGTATAAACAACCATTTGAAGAAGTTTAGCTATAAAGGGGAGGTGGGAAAATATAGAATGGTAGCAGGAAGAGGTTGAAAATGGTGGTTTGGTTTGTTTTTTAATATAAAATAAATATAAGCATGGTGAAGTACTGGTGTGATGGAGCCCAGTATTTGAAGAACAGATTGAAACTGGAGATGAGAAGGCATAATCAGCACAAAATCACTGAGGAGGCAAGAGGGAATGGTCTAGATTTCAGATGAAAGAATGATTCTTTAATTGAAACAAGACAGGTGTAGGTGCAAGTTTAGTAGCAGGAAGTAGAGGAAGTTCTGTCCCATGACTTTGCTTTTTTTTCCCTCTATGAAGTAGGAAGTGACTTCATAAAGGTCATTGAGAGATTGTTAGACCGGCTCCCCACAGACAGCAGCTGTATTCTAAGTTCCCTGATTGCTCATCAGCCTCCTGAGAGAGAAGGAGAGATTGTGAGAGTCAGTTTGAAGAGAGTGGAGAAGGTTTGAATATTCTTTTGTGGTACAGGAAAAAATTGCTTGGCAATGCTGAGGATCCAAGTAAAGGTGGTGATTGTGACCACTTTGCAGAGCTGGGTGATCTTTCTCTAGTAGTGCTAATTATTCCAAATACAGTTCTAGAGCAAGCAGATAGAGTTAATCTTATTTGGAGATTTCTGTCCAACAGATATTAATGGGAGGACAATAGAGCTTAAGAAAATTGGCAAAAAGTGATATTTCATGGGATATAGGCTGAATAGATAGGAAAGTGGCTATCTAGAAGCCAGGCCTGGTGACTGGTAGGGAGCATGGAGAGGAGTCATTGGAGTCAAAGTCTGGATGCATTAGAGAGCAGTATCTCAAATACTGCAAAGATAGTATTGTCTGAATTTGTGTTTGAATAGGAGGCAGAAGCATCGGTGGAAGAGTTCTTTGGAAATAAATTGAGGAATTTCCTGTCTAGGTAATTGATCTTAAAGTCACTTATCCCTTCTCAAATTTTAATATGTATATGAATTACCTGGAAATCTTATTAAATACAGATTGTAATTCATTGGGTCTACGGTAGGGCTCAAGATGAGCATTTCTAGCAAGCTCTCTGATGGCACTCATGCTGCTTCTACACAGACTCCCTCTTTGAATACTAAGGACTTCGGATGGTAGGAACGCTGTGAACTAGATGCCAGAGACATTGGTGACTAAAGGGGATGTACTCTGGAGAGCATATAAGATAATTATGAAAGAGCAGATAAATGGCAGAGCCTCAAAAGAGCAGCAGTTTTTACAAGAGCACATAGGAGAAATGGCCTTGAAATGGCATTAGGAAGTGAAGGAGTCAGGTAATCCAGGACATGATTGTAAATTCATAGAGAGTGTGTGAGAGAAATCAGTTTCTACCTGAGGTCTGAAAAGGAAAGTGGTTTCTTTAGGGGAGAGCTGGGTTTCAGATAAGACATTATTGTGGAGGATATTCAGTAAAGAGTTTACAAATCATGGAATAAGATTTAGGAGAGGATTTATAGGGATGAGGGGAGTATGGGTAACCAGAGAGTTTACATTTTGAACATTAAATGAGGAAAACATAGATAAATTCAGGCAATGTCCTGGAAGTTGGTGAGCATTCAGGGAACTTAGAATGCAGTTGTTTTCTGTGAGGCACAAAATCTGGCAGTAAGTGGCAAACTTGCAAGCTTAGTTACTGTGAGAAGTGCTGCAGTGAGCATGGGTGTGCATGTATCTGTTTGTGTCCCAGATCTCACTACTTCAGGATACATTCCTAGTAGTGGGATTGCTGGATCAAATAGTATTTCTGTTTCCAACTTTTTAAGGAATCATCATACTATTTTCCACAGTGGTTGTACCTTTGTACAGTCCACCAGGAGTGTATGAAAGAGTTCCAGTCTCTCCACACCGTAGCCAGTATTTGTTACTGGTGGAGTAATGAGCTGAAATGGGTACCAGGTTGCTCTGTTGTTGTTCGAACAGTGGGGACTAGATGGTTGGTAAAAAGAAAAGTATCTGCTATGAAACATGACATGTTTGGTTCTGTGTTCCCTGCAGAATGTGGAACAGTGTAAACTGGCCATCACATTCTCCAGTGTTCATTTTTGCTTATACGTGGTAATTGTTGATGTGTAAGACAGAGTTAGGAGCTCTGGTGGTGGTGGGTTGGAATGAGCTAGGGCCCTGTAAGGGAAAGATGGCAATGATAATTTTAATCATATACGTATCACTAATACCTAGAAGGAATCTCTGGATGCTGCAAATAGTTAACATGCCTGCTGCTAGCAAAAAGATGGGAGGTTTGAGTCCACCCAGTGGTGCCTCTGCTAACAAAATGATGGGAGGTTTGAGTCCACCCAGTGGTGCCTCAGAAGAAAGTCTTAACAATCTACTGAAAAAAATCAGCCACTGGGGAAGAAGAGTTCTACTCTTTTTTGTCTCTTTTTCCTTTTTAACTATTTTGATTTGGGTGCAATTTTACAAAGCAGATACGTTT